TGAGTTAGACTCAGCCCTAAGCGCCACGAACCCTGCGTATACGAAGCCCTAAACCGAAACCCTAGACCCTAAACCCGACACCCCCGCAGAAGCTACTGCCCTCACTCTGGACATTTGGATCATAAATATAGTTCTTGTTGTCTATATACCCCTGAATGTCCCAGACCCCCCAAAAAAAATCCAGAAAGTAGAGCTCCTAAAGGGGGGAGTTCTATAAGCAAAGTACCCTTTGGGTACTATAGATTAGGGGATCTACTTTCCAGATCCTCCTGGCGGGATGAACCGCCAAGCCCAGGCTTGCGTACGCCGTGCCCATCCTTGAGGCAGGCACCTGGGCTATGGGCCCAAGATCTCCGAGCCCCAAAGTAGTTCTTTTTGGGGGTTCATCTTTAGAATCTTATTAGGTACTCCCAAAAAGGAACTACTATGGGGCCTTTGGGTAGTTGACTACGGTTGATGATATAGATCCTGCATTGCCCATAATAAGGAATATACCAGTATTATTCCCGTAGTTTAAGCAGGGTTTTTATCGTCAACCGTATCACCGGGGTCTTTCTTGGAGCGCGAACATCAACCTAGACGCCACAGCTGCCCTCTGTTCGACCCTAAATGGCCACTATGAAGGATCATAAGAGCACTATTACAGGGGCGCTTGGGGGATCATGCGAAGCCTCAGGCCTGAAGCGCTCAACTCAATGACCCTAAGGGTCCAAGTACCCAAGTAGTAGGATTTCAAGTTTTTTGATTCAGAGCATGGGTTTGCGGGGCCGAAAACCGTACAATTTGGGTATAACTATAGTACCCTAAACCCTAGCCCCCCTAACCCCTAAAGCCCTAAAGCCTAAAGCCTAAACCCTATAAGCCCTAAACCCTAACCCATTTGGGTACTACCCTAAGGCCCCAAAGTAGTTCTTTTTTGGGGTTCATCTTTAGAATCTTATTAGGTAATCCCAAAAAGGAACTACTATGGGGCCTCTGGGTAGTTGACTAGGGGTACTAGTTGACTACTTGGAGGATCATGGGACTTAGTAAGTAGGGTTATAAGTACCCTAATTGGGGTTATAAGCAGTTATAAGTATAGTTACCCTAATTATAACCTCTTGCTAAGCCCCATGACCCTTTAAGGAGACCCTTAACCCTAAACCCGTATAGATCCCTTATAGAACCCTTTAAGGAACTCCCTAAGTAGTACCCTCTGGGCGAGCCAGCAGGCGCTCCTCCATCGCCTCGCACCACGAGTGCGAGCGGTGGTTCTGCTGCCCACACGCGACCTTGCCATGCAGGCGGAGAGGGGGAGCATGATGTTACGAATTGCGGTTTGCCGGCTTTGGCGTTGGTTCCAGTGCTTACGTGCCCAGAACGTCGAGGCTTCAGACGGCGGAGGGGATGGCCATTGAGTTGTGGAAGCCACATGGGTTCTCCCGCCACGTGCCGCTCTCGGCTCAAGCATTGAGACGCAACCTTTAGCCAACATTTACCGCAAAGTTCTCGAACGCCATGCTTGTAAAGCTGGTCTTCGCATGTGGATTCGTGGCATCTTGATTGCACCATCGGCAGCTACATTTTGCGATACAAGATGAGTTGTTCTGGACTCGACCAAGGCAGGCTTTGCAGCTTCGCAGGGCTGCGCGAGCGATCTTGATGGCCGCGTCCGCAGTACAGGTCTCCTTCAGGCTTCCGCCACCCACAAAAAGGGAGAGGTTGCCGACACGTACTCGGATTGCAAGTTAACAGCAGCATCAGCATCCCGAGTCAGCTGACAGTTGCTTCTGCATCATGGATAATTTGCATTGCTCCTCATGATGTCCGGTTGAAAGTCTTACCTCGACTATGCGACTCATGTTCAGCGCCTCCTGACATGATATATAAGCAGTGAGACTGAGGCACCCGGTCGCCGCTGTGGATTTGGCCGGAGTCCGCCAGGAGGTGGAGCTCTACCGCCAGCAGCTGAACTTGACAGAGGAAGAAGAGAAGACATCCTAAAACGTTTTCTTCCTGGTGCGGGGTTGCAAAAACTTTGGACTCGCAAGCCGCAACACTAGGCAAAAAGTTATCATGGCAACACACCACGGTTCCGGTTGCAGTTCAAGAGTGCAGTTCAGTTTCGGTGGTAGGTGGATAGTTGTTGCCGTCCGTTTTCCCTCTCAGATGTGCTGTTCCGCGCACAACCATTGGTGGGAAGAATGCGCGCGCACGAAACAATGCTCTTCCGGAGTCGACTGTTGGTGCACGCCGCTGTATCTGGATCCTTGGAAGCAGAAGTGTGTTGACTTCAGCAGAGGCGTGCAGGGGGCACCGTCTATCATCCATGTCAGTTTTGCATGTACAAGTCTCCTTATCGCCGTGACAAGGAGGGAGTTCTGGACTGCAAGACCCAGTATTCGTCGACACAAGATTGCCCAGCTCCTCATGGCTACTGAAGCCTGAAGCCCGTGACGCAAGTGAATCGGCAGTACATGTATCCAGCACTCAACACTTCTAAAACTACTCGCAGAGAGGGTCCGCTGTGGCGCTCTCTCGAGTGGTTTGCCTGTAAAGTTGCTCCAGAGCCAGTTCGGGAGGATTCTCTTAAATCGTCTGGTGACGGCCCCTTTCCACCGGCTGCAAAAAGCGGGCTCCCAACCAAAACACCCTAAAGCGCGCCAAAACGGCCCTACCCGAATACTCCCAACCAAGACCAAAACATCCTAAAACGCTCCACACAGCCGCGAAAAAGTCTGCGAGCTCGAAGACCTCCCAAACATACTAAATTTTAGGCGCCTAAACAATAATTACCAATATGTTGAAGTCTGTGTACTTGAGTGCTCTTTCACGAGATGTTTCGGCTAAGGCTTTGAGGATTAGGCAGTGTGCACATAATCTTCAGTGCATTGAAGCATTCCGACAAGGCTTTTGCTGTGACGAGTAAAGTGATCCGTGCATGCGTGCCATGGTCTTTTCTTGAATTCACCTGGCTCTTTTGTATTCTGGACATTATGTCAGCATTTCATTCACCCTTGAGCCCTGAGAACCAACCAAATCAGGAACACGACGATCAACAGGTTATGCCAGCCCAAGTGGTTCCAGGCGCTACTCAGCTTGAAGGTGAGACCTCAGGGCCAAACTACGGAAATGCAGACGTTCCTGAGCAACGCGGATTTTTCCGCATTTTTAGTTGTGTTCGCCGTCGCTCTCTTCTGAACTGCACGCCCACATCATGTTTGGGTCGATAGACATCACGCTCATAGTCTCATTTTCTGTGCCGAAAACCTGGACCTGAACCCCCAAACCTACACTCTACCCTTGCCCTAAACCCTAAACCCTAAACTGTCACAGACTGCCGCAAGGTCTGCCGCGTCTTTGACACGCTGATGCGTGGCCTTAGGCGTGGGCGCCGCCGGGTTGCAGTTCGCTGAAGGCCGCTTTTCTTTTGTGGCCTGTCGATGGTACTGTTTGTACGGTCCAAGCGGTTTAGGCTTTAGGGTTGGTGGGATGCAGAGCTCAAGCAGCATCATCGTATTGGCGGTAGTTTTAAGAGCTTCGAGTGGCATGATCAGTATTGGACGCCATCTGGCATTAGCGGGCATTGGAGGGACTCTGCGCGTGTGACGGCGCAGAGGCTTAGTGGCTTAGTGCGTTCAAGAGTCGCAAGCTTTCCGCAATGTCCATTGACTGGGTTCTGGAGTACCATACTTGAATATTTTGGGGTTTAGGGTTTCGGGTTTAGGGTTTAGGGTTTAGGGTGGTGAAGGAACCATGACGAAATATCATTCCATGCATTTTTCTCCCAGGTTACTTGGTTACTTCAACGTCCAGTTGAAGTCCACCCCTCAACTCCTAAATCACATGAACCCGAACTCCCTAAAGCCCCGAACTTTAAACCCCGATATGGGCCGACTGCTTGGCACAAGGAGAAAGCTCACTGCATAAAACAGACCGATAGCCCCCTATCCCGAAGCCTGAAAATCGAGACTGGAAACCCTAAACCTTATATACACCCTAAACCCTAAATCTTAAATCCTAAACCCTATAAACCCCCAAACCCTAAACCAGGTCACAACGTGGCGCCCATCCGACTCCAAACTCTTGGCATGAAGGTGGCATTTCTGGTTTAGGGTTCTGTGCGGCTTAGGGCCTACCTGGACCCTACAGAAAGTCTACAGAACCTAGCTTTTTAAGGGCCTATGCAAGGAAACCGTAATAAGTGAACCCTAAAAAGGTAGGTTAATCAGGGTTGAGGTAGAGTTCAGGGTTCGGGGTGTAGGGATTTTGGCTATTGGTCGGTTTGAGTTTCAAGACGTATGGATTTGTGAAGCTTGCGTGTTGAAGCCGTAAACCCGAACCTTAAGCCCTTAACCCAACCCTAAACTCCCTCTTCCCTAAACCTTCAACCCTAACCCCAAGGTACTGGACCGCCTATTATAGGGCCGACAAGCTAGAATCACTTGGTGCGAGGATGGAAAGGAGGCTCGAGGATTCGGTCAGTTCTAGCCGCAAGATACCGAGATTTCAGGTGCATGTATACGCCGGACTTCGTCCGGGGGCAGGGTTTGGGTTGAGGGTTTCGGGGTTTAAGGTTTAGGTTTCAGGGTTTGGGGTTTTAGGGTTTAGGGTTTAGGATTCGGGTTTAGGGTTTAGCGTTTAGGGTTGGGGGTTTTGGGTTTATTAAGCTTAAATGGGACCTTCGGAAATTGTTGTTCAATGTTGCAGCTGTTTTCAGGCTTTGTCTTGCTGGTATAGCCCTAAGCCCTAACTCCAGACTTCCTAAACCCCCGCACCCTGACCTCCTAAATCACCATGCCCAACACTCCTAAACCCGAAAGCCTAAACCCCAAAGCGGACTTCTGAGGCTTGCAGTGGGCTTGGACATTTAGAAGGGTATGGGTTTGTGGCCTTGGATTTAACCGGGATTGAGCCGTTGAGGACTACTAGTCTCAGAGTTCGTTAAACCAAAGAAGGAACTACCATGGAGACTATACGTATGCTTGGCTGGAAAAGATGCTGTCCACCGACCTGAGGCCATGGCGCAGGAGCAGCAGCAACTCTCCGCAGGGCCGGAAACCCAGTGGAGTGCCGTTTAAAGCGAGCTTTCAAGGCTTAGGGAGCAGAGTTTAAGATTTAGGTCCTGTTGTGTTTCATGCAACGCTCATGAGGGACTCAACAGTGATAAGCAATAGGGATACAAAAGGGACAGCCCCAATTCGGGTAATTAACGCAAACCCTAATTTTCACATCGTTTTCGGCATTCCTTGCTCTTAAAGTTCCCTAAGCCCTAAACCCATGTCATAGAAACACTGAGGCCTCCCCCGGACGTCGTCGTTTGCACTCCGGGGCGCTTGGCGGAGCACTTTTTTGGTCGAGGCCTTTGCAGTGTTCGGGGTTGGGTTTGGGGGTTTAGGGTTTACTGTTTGGGGTTCGAGGTTTGGCATCCAATATAGGTGGCGGAAGAATCGGCGATATACGTCACTTTGTAGTTATGTTGCCGTAAACACCAAAGCCTTTTTTATTATTGAGGCGGAGCCGGGCGAGCCGGTGTGTTTCTGTTGTGGGTGCTTTTCTGCTGTGGGTGCTCTAGGGCGGTGGCCGGAAGTGAGCGAACGCAGCGTGCACCTGTAGCAAAAACAGCATGCCACAGCTAGCACTCCCATGTTCAACTTTCTTTTCTGAGTTGCTTTTTTGCTGGGGTGCGCGGCGTTTTTGTCGCTATTTTGGAGGTATAGATCCCAATTAACTACTGAAGCCTCAAATAAACAAACCCTGAACCCGAAACCCAAAACCCCCCAACCTTAAACTCGAAACACCACAATTCAATAATTCCCATAACTTGTAACAGCCGGACAGGGGCGCACCTCGACCTCGCAGCTCTTCGCTGGAGTTTGGGCTGCAATATTATAGCCTGGGTTTGGAGTACCAGACTTGAATACTTTTTTGGTACCTGTTCCTTAAAGGAACCATTATGACATACAAGTCTATACTTTATTCTCCCTGGTTACTTCCAAGTCCAGATAGGGGCCTTAATATTTCCCGATACTGTGTTGGGGGGTTCCTTACTATACTTACAGTATAATGGCCACCAAAAACCCTACTCTAATTATGAAGGCCCCTATATTAGGCTAATGGGCCCTAAGCTCAAAACCCCTAGAAACGGTCACAAACCCGGATCGCCGGGAGGATCTGGAGCGGGGGTTCCCACATAAAGCCTCAGGGGTTCTACTTTCCAGGTTCCCCAACCCTATCCCAAAACCCTACTTGGAGGGTCGGGGGACTTAGTAGGTAGTTATTTTGAGACTTTTTAGTGCCGTAACCCCAATTAGGATCCCTTTGAAGGCACTTATAAGTCTACTTATAACCTACTTACTAAGTCCCCCGACCCTCCAAGTAAACCCCAAAACCGTAGAGACCTCAAAGCCCCGAATTGGTGTTCTACTTTCTAGATCCTTTCGGGGGTCTGGGAACTTCTGGGTTTAGGGTCGCGGATGGGGCCTAAGCCCTGCCCTGCAGGCTCTAAATCCCGGGCCTTACGGTTGATGATATAAATCCCGCATTACCTGCAAGACCCAAAACTACGGAAATTATGGTATATTCCTTATTATGGGTAATGCAGGATTTATATCATCAACCCCAAACCCTAAACCCCCTATAGATCCCTTAAAGGAACCCCTTAAGGTACCCTTATAGATCCCTTTAAAGGAACCCTAGGATTTATATCATCAACCGTATCAACCCCAAGCTCGAAACTTCAGGTTTGTGGCAGATGAGGCCGACCGCCTACTTTCACAGATACCCGGCTTCGACTCGCCTCCTGTTAGGCTCTACCTGAACCCCGAATAACCACCCTTTTGAGGACTTACCTGTGACTCCAAACCCTACTAAATAGCAGGTTATGACCCCTGAATTAGAGGGTCTGACCCTCAAAACGGTAGGTTTTGGGATCCCCAGGTATGTAAAGAAAGCATAATAAGGAACCCTAAAAAGGTAGGGTTTTCAGGGTTGAGGTAGGGCTTTAGGGTTTAGGGGGCTTCGGGGTTGAGGGTTTCGGGTCGTGAGGTTTTAGAGGTCTTCCGTTGAGTCGGTGCTGGTTTAGGGTTTTTAGGGTTCAATTACTAGGACCCAGAGTAGGCCCTTATTCCCTTTTTTAGGCTTCGGGTTCCATTATAATCCCCATGACACCAAACAGGGCACCCTTTTTATTCCTAGGTTACTCTTAGGTTTAGTTAGGGTGTATTCATGAATGGTGCCTACAGGGCTTATGGGGGCTTATTATAGGGCCTGTAGGGTCATGAATTTTTGCGGGTCTCCGATTTTCTGGTATAGGATTGAAAGTCTGCGGTTTGGTATGATATCCCTTTGTAGAACCCTAGTAAAGCCCTTATAGATCCCTTTCAGGATCCCTTTTGATATCCTAAAACCCTAGACCCTCCCATTCCTCATCCCCATCATTCAGGTGGTGGAGGTTGTTTAGATCCCTGCGGGCTTCGTGTTCGCTCTTGTTACTTAAAGGGTCATGGGACTTAGTACCTAGGGTTTAGGGGTTCCTTTAAAGGGTGCTATAGGGTCTAGAGTAGGGCTCCTTTTAAGGGTTTAAGGCTTGGGGTCTACTTAAAGGGTGATGGGACTTTCTAACCAGGGTTATAAAGAAGGTACCTATACTTGTAATTACTTATATCCCCAATTAAGGTACTTATAACCCTACTTACTAAGTCCCACGATCCTCCAAGTAGGGCCGTTAGGTGTTTAGCTCTTGTTGCTGTTTCAGGGCCTAGAGATTTGGGCTTCAGGGCGGTTCGCTTTGAACTGTGCGGAGTGAGGACGAAAGATCCGCCTGTGAGATCATTACCCTTCCGTAAAGAATACATCTCATCTCAAACAATCTTAAGCCCCGTGTAGTTCAAGCCTTACTTCTTATCGAAGCATAAGGTAGCCCCGTTAAATCAGGTTATATTCCTCCGAAATCTCGCCTAGACCATGCACTACGAAGGCGTGAAGCTCAGACCACGGCTGAACTTCATTTTGGGGTTTAGGGCTTTCGGGATAAGCCCTATAACCCTAAGCCCTACACTCTAACACTTAGCTCTTCAACCGAGGAGCTACCATCGCTGGTTGGAGGTGCCCGCGTGCAAGATTGTTACTTGGAGGGGTCTGAGTCTTAGGACTTCGGGTTTAGGGCTCAGTAGGTAGATATTTTGTTATCACCGTAGACGGGACCCCAATTGGGATTGATGGTACTTTGGGCTCTATAGGCTCGCTCCTTACCAATTAAGTCCCCCGCCCAGGTTTCGGGCAAAAGTTTTACGTGTTTAAGGTTTAAGAAGTTTTCGGATTTATGATTTCTGTTTTCGGGTTTTCAGGCGCTTTCGACAAAGCACTCTGCAGTTCGGAAAACAACTCTGTTTCGGGGTTGTAAGGTTTAGGGATCAGGGTTTACTTAAAGGGTCATGGGACTTAGTAACTAAGGGTTATAACTAAGGTAACTATACCTATAAGTACATATAACCCCAACTAATAAATTCAGGTACTTATAACCCTAGTTACAAAGTCCCTTGATCCTTCAAGTAGACTATTAAACCCTAAACCCCTATAGATCCCTTAGAGAACCCCCTTATGGAAACCTCTGAGTGCCTAAGTCCCGTCCTCCCTTAGAGAGCTCTTTAAAAGAGCCCCTTAAGGAACCCTTCTTTCAGTCACATCAGGGTTTACCTTAACCCCAAGTAACCTACCTGTTTGAGGACTTATATAAAGAACTCATATTAGGGAACCCTGAACAGGAAGGTTCCTTTTGGGTCCAGGTAGGGGTACATCCGATTCCCTAAACCCCTATAGATCCCTTGCAGAACCCGTTAAAGAAGCACCTTAAGGAACCCTTTACGTTTAGGGATCAGGGTTTAGAGTTTAGGGTTTAGGGGTACATCCGATTGAGCCCTGGCAGGTCTTCGACCGGGCGACGTCGCTGCCGCCGCAGGCACCAGGGGCGCTGCCCCGGCCCCGGCCGCAGAAATTGCGACTCGGCAGTTTGAGGTGTACTTAGAGGCCTAGTAGTAGAGTAGGTAAGGGGTTTAGGGATTGGGGGTTTAGGGATTTTAGTAGTTTAGGGTTTAGGGTTTACGGTTTGAGGTGTACCTGAAGGCTTACCCTTAACTCTAAACCCCAAACCCTAAACTCCAAACCCTAAACTCTAAGCCCTAGACCCTACTCATTGGCCGTAAACTCAACTTTTTTCCATTTTTGGGGCTCTTATAAGGTGGTCGATTCTAAAAGTTTAACTTTTATTTCTTTGGATTTTGGGCCAGTGAGAAAGGTAACTAGGCTTTACGGCCCCTTTAAGTTATTAAAGGGTGCTATAGAGGGTTTAGGGTCTACTTCAAGGTTCATGGGACTTCGAAACCAGGGTTATAAATAGGAAACTATAATTATAATTACATACATCCCCAAGTAGGGCACTTAGAACTATACTTACTAAGTCTCATGAGCCTCCAAGTAGGGCTTAGCGGTTACGGAGTTCAGGGTTTGGGGAGATTCAGTTTCAGGTCGGGTTTTCGGGTTTAGGCTTCAGGGTTCGAGTTTAGGGATTCAGTGTGAAGGGTTTACGGTTTTGCGGTGTTAGGTTGTTTTGTTCGGTCTGTTTTCTGTAGCTTGGAAATCTCGCTCTCCTTTGTGTGGTCACTGAAGATTCTGAGTGCCGCAAGACCCTGAACGCAGGACCTGAAAATGTGGTGCCTCTCAGAAACAAAGAAGTTTAGAACATATGAGAAGCTATGAGGGCCTTATAAGGGCAAACCTAAACTTTAAAAAAACTATGAACAGAGTTAGAGGGTCCGTATGTACTACTATGATGGAGTTAGGTCCCCAAAACCACTATATAAGCACGGCTTTTCGGGACCCAGCTCCATAACGGTAGTATATATGGAACCTCTAGGAAAGCTGGGGCCCTAAACCCTAAACTTTTACGGATATTTCCATTTGGAGTGCACGCCTGAACCGGGCGGGCTGGCGAGTAATCAAAAGTCCGATGCACTTTAAAAAATAACTTTTACGGACATGAACACAAGCTTTTATCCGAACCCCTAAACCCTAATCCCTAAACCCTAAACCCCTAAACCTTAAGCCCTAAACCCAAAACCCTAAACCCTAAACCCTAAACCCATGAACACAAGCTTTTATCCGAACTTTTTCCGAGGCTGTTCTCTGCTACCATGACCTGGGACCCGCGGAAGCTTGCGGCACTGAAGCTGCTGAGGTCTCCGAGGGGGTGATATAGAAGCCTACATACCCAAAGGCTCCATGTGCCCATATAGTATATACTTAGGCCTTAAAGTGCCTATATAGAGTTAAGTACTGTACAAATTATAGCGACGTCACGCGACGTCACCCTGAAAATCTCCAAAATTAGCGACCGCAGTCTTCCCAAATTAAGCGAAATTAGCGACCCAGCCCTCTGACCCATTGGGCCGAGACAGGCAGGATTTCTGCTGGTTGGCACAAAATTTAAACAACGATATCGCTCGATTTCTGCTGCGATTTCTGCTTGTCGGCTTGAGCATTATTTGGCTCAGGACGGTTCGCTTTCCGCTTTTTGGCTTGTGGGATCCCACAAAAAGCACTATCTGGCCCAGATAGGCTCGTTTTCTGCTTTTTAGCTTGTGGGACACCAACAAAGCACTATCTGGGCCAGACAGGTTCGTTTTCCGCTTTTTGGCTTGTGGGACCCCTCCCAAAACAGCACTATTTGGCTCAGGACGGCTCGCTTTCCGCTTTTCGGCTTGTGGGATCCCACAAAAAGCACTATCTGGCCCAGATAGGCTGTTTTCTGCTGTTTAGCTTGTGGGACACCAACAAAGCACTATCTGGCCCAGATAGGCTCGTTTTCCGCTTTTTGGCTTGTGGGACCCCCCCAAAACAGCACTATTTGGCTCAGGACGGCTCGCTTTCCGCTTTTTGGCTTGTGGGATCCCACAAAAAGCACTATCTGGCCCAGATAGGCTCGTTTTCTGCTTTTTAGCTTGTGGGACACCAACAAAGCACTATCTGGCCCAGATAGGCTCGTTTTCCGCTTTTTGGCTTGAGGGACCCCCCAAAACAGCACTATTTGGCTCAGATAGGCTCCTTTTCTCCGCCTAAGAAAAATGAAAGATGGACTGCCGGATCCTTGACATTGCTGTCTTGCGTGTCAGTCCAAATTGACTACCGGTAATTACCAGTACCACCTACACTGCCAACTGCTACCACTATAATATTACTGCTTTTAATGTTGAGTCCCACAAGCCAAAAGGCTGAAAACGAGCGTATCTGAGCCAGATAGTGCTTTTTTAGTGGGCCCACAAGCCAACAAACAGAAAACGAGCCTATCTGAACCAGATAGTGCTTTTTGGGGATCTTACAAGCCAAAAAGAGGAAAACGAGCCTATCTGAGCCAGATAGTGCTTTTTTGGGGGGGTCCCACAAGCCAAAAACCTGAAAACACGCCACTAGCTATTGCTGCTTCTGCTGCTACTACGACTACCACTACCACTAGTACTACTAGTACTACTACTACTACTACTACTACTACTACTACTACTACTGCTACTACTGCTACTACTGCTACTACTGCTACTGCTACTGCTACGACAGCAACAACTACTACTCTACCACCACTACTACTACTACTACTACGACGACGACTACTATTGCTGCTACTACTTTTATTGCTACCACGACGACGACTACTACTGCTACTACGACTACGACACTACTACTGCTACTACTACTGCTACTACTACTACCACTACTACTACTACTACTACTACTACTACTACTACTACTACTACTACTACTACTATTACTACTAGTAGTACCACTACTGCTGCTGCTACGACTACTACTACTGCTACTACTACTACTACTACTAATACGACGACTGCTATTACGTTTACTTCCTCTACCACGACGCCTTACCACTTCTGCTACTACTCTTGGCCACACAGCCCTCAGCCCGCTAATTTCGGGTGTGAAATTAAATAGCGACCGCAACGGAAATTATCCGAGACGTCACCGGCCTAATTTCGAATTGTATTTATTATAATTTGTGCAGTTAAGTACCTACTATAAAGGTACATGGAGCCTTTGGGATAATTAGTTGTCGGTATTGCGCCAAAGTTTCCCTTCAATATTTAGACTATAAGGAGACCCTGACAATAAAGGTTACCAGTATTATGCCATGCGGTTCAAACTGTCAGTGCTTGGAGTTTAACCAAGATCGTTTGAAGAACACTGCTTGATGCCCTTTGGTTATAGCCCCTACATGACCATACTTCAAGATACCTTCCCCTAACCCTTGTTCTACTTACTTCACTCGAACCTCCTTCCATGAAGCTTGGTGCTGTAAGCGTTTTGAAAGGGTTCTACAAGAGTGCTTCAGGCATGAACCCTGAACCCTAAACCCCATAAGCCCTAAACCCTCAAACTCTACAGCTAGATAAACTCTAAACCCCTAGACCAGTAAACCCATTCTATGACTAGGACCCAGAGTAGGCCCTTATTCCCTTTTTTAGGGTTCCGGTTCCCTAAAAATCCCCTTGAAACCAAAAAGGGCACCCTTTTTATTCCTAGGTTACTCTTAGGTCTAGATGACAGTGGGGTTATAAGTACCCTAATTGGGGTTATAAGTAATTATAAGTATAGTTACCCTATTTATAACCCTAGTTACTAAGTCCCATGACCATTTAAGTATGAGGGGTTCATACGGGTAACAGGAGAGTTCAAGGCTTGGGGCTTGGTTTTGTAGTTTAGGGTTTGAGATTTAGGAGTTTCCGAAATTAGGGGCACCTTATTTTGGGGTCCCTACAATAAGGATCCTACTATTTAGGGTACTATATTAGGGTCCCCTATTTTCGGAAACTCCCATTTAGGCTTAGGGGTCCGCTTTTTGTTGAGGAGGGGCTTGCCTCCGAACGTTTAGGGAGTTTAGGGATTGCGGCTTTACCTGAAGGTCGGGGAACTGAGGTTGTAAGTCCTGTTGTGTTGTGACTGTTGAGATTCTCTTGTTTTCAACTGCACTTATAGCCTATTTAGACCTGCTTGCTAAGTCCATGGTTTAGGGAGTCATGGTCTGTAAACTCGGGCTCTCTAAACTCCCAAGAGGATGCACTTACATTACTGAGGTCCCACAAGACCATCACTGTTTTGCTTCCGGGGATCTACTTCCATAATGGTAGTATACGTGGACCCTTTGGGTTCGGGTTCTCTAAGTTACAGTTGCTTTCTGGGGTCCTCGTTATAAGAGTCACGACATGGTTTTTGTGGATCCAATATGAACCGTAATTTCCCTAAACCCTATGAGCCCCAAACCGTAAGCTTTAAACCTAAAGCCCAAACTGCAAAACTAAGCTTTAGACTTGTGAGCTCCTGTGTAAGAGCGTACTTGGAGGGTGTACTCATGGCTGCTGCCATGCACCCAAAACTTAACCAACTCAAAAGCAGAACAGCCCGTACTGAGGGACCCTTTCATCAGCTTATTGCTACGTGCAAGTAGGTGATGTTGAGCTGCTAGAAAAACACCCCTCTGTTGATTTCAGGGCCCCCCCTGCCGGGTCGGTTGAACTGACTCTAAAAACCTCAGGGTTGTTTTTGAAACGAGGATGGGATTAGTATTGAGTTTTCAGGATTAAGGTAGGTTAATGACAAGGGGTAGCATCAGGCTTGTATTCCTAGACTTTAAAGCCCCAAGCACCTGACAAAAGGGAAGCCCTTAGCCCTAAACCCTAGGCCCTAGGCCTAAACCTTAAACCCCAGACCCTACAACCCAAAACAACCCTCAACCTTAGAAGCTGCCCCCACCCTGTAATAGTGGTATAATCGGAATATAATCGGGCGTGGGGGCCCCTTCTAACCTCAACCCTAAATCCTAGCGTGATGCCTGGTGTTGGAGGCCCTTATACTTCTTCTCCTCACGTTCTGGGTGCCTCGGACACATCGGCAAACCAGCCCTGAACCTACCTTATTAGGGTTCCTTTAAAGGGTCACTGTAAGGGTTCCTTTAAAGGGCTCTATAAGGGTTTATAGAGTTTCCGACAATTAGGGGGGTACCTTAGTTTTTTATAGGGTTTCTTTAAATTCCATATTGGGGTTTATAACAAGGACCTACAAAACAGTAGGGTTTGGTATTTTGGGGTAGATCCTTTCATGAGGGTTCCTATACAAAGCCTTTGGTAATACAGTGGCCCAAATTAGGGGGTACTACTTTCTAGATCACCCAGTGTGGGCGGCTCGGGGATTATTTTCAAGTAGACTGACGGTGTTTAGGGTTTGAGGGTATAATTACTTGGCAGATCATGGGACTTAGCAAGTAGGGTTATAAGTACCCTAATTGGTGTTAGAAGTAATTATAAGTATAGTTACCCTAATTATAACCCTAGTTACTAAGTCCCATAACCCTTAAAGTAACCCTAACCCCCTTATAGAGCCCTTATAGATCCCTTTAAAGGAGCCCTTATAGAAACCTTCTTAGTTACTAAGTCCCATGACCCTTTAAGTAGGACGAGGAGTTGGTCAAGAGCTAGGCAGGAGAGATGAGGATTCAGGGCCTCAGCTTTTCCGTTTCAGGGTTCCAGGGTTTAGGGTTTCTTAGGGTTTAGGGTTTAGGATTTCGGCTTTAGCGTTTCAGGGTTTAGGATTTCGGGTCTTGCGTTTCGAAGACAGCTTTTATAGATTTTTGTTAGGGTTCGGTGCCAGGTTCTCGGGCAAAGCTCCGTAAACCCTGAGCCCGAACGAGTAACCCCCAGAACCCCTGCTTCATGTTCATGTCCCTTCGGCGTTTGAGGGGGGATTTCAGGGACAGAGACCCTCAACCCAAAACCCTGAGAAAGCAGCACACGGTTTATTTTTAGGGTTTAGCGCCGGGGTTTGGCAAATTTGGGCCCAAGGTGTTAACTTGCTTGTGTGTTGGCGGTTTGGGTTCAGGAAGTGTTTTCGAGCTCTGTTGCAGGGTTAAAAACCAAGAAGTGTTTTGCACGTTGCCGCAAACAGGGAAAACACTTCTTAAATCTTGTGTGTGACGGGCCAGTGATGAGGGCTCAGAATGCAAGGGGGGCAGGATTACAAGGTTCATATGTCACATTTGTGTTTTGGGGTTGGGGGGGCGCTTTGGATGCTTGAATCTTTGGGGCCTACCAAAAGAATTTCAAAGTAAGCATGGGTGGAGCAACTGAAACAAACGAAACTCTTCAGACTTCCACTCGTCAACGCTCATCTTTTAAGCACAGCAGCACTCGGAGTTTAGAGGCTCACAATGCCCCCACTCGACCCCGACCCCCAGCCTGATCAAGGGCCTGATTGGGGAGTGTCGGAAAATTAATTTTGGTCGGATATTAGTCATTTTGGTAAGAAAAACCTTTTTTGGTAGGATTTTATTTCTTTTGACGGAAGATCTTTTTTGGTCGGATCTTCTTTTTTTTCGGTCCGAAAAATATTTGTTGGTCAGATTTTTTTTTGGTCCGAAAAATCTTTTGTGGTCTGATTTTTGTTTTTTGGTACGATTTTTTTTGGTCGGATTTTTGTTTTTGGTCCGAAAAATTGTTGGTCGGATTTTATTTTTTTTGGTCCGAAAAATTTATTTTGGTCGGATTTTTGTTTTTTGGTACGAAAATTTTTTTTTGGTCGGATTTTTGCTTCTTTGGTCCGAAAAAATCTTTGTTGGTCTGATTTTCTGTTTTTGGTCCGAAAAATCATATTTCGGTCGGATTTCCTTTTTTTGATCAGAAAAATATTGTTTGGTCTGATTTTTTTTGGTCCGAAAAATAATTTTTGGTCGGATTTTTTTTTGGTCCGAAAAATCTTTTTTGGTCGGATTTCATTTTTTTTGGTCCGAAATTTATTTTTGGTATGATTTTCTTCTTTTTGGTCCGATAATTTTTTTTTGGTCTGATTTTCGATTTTTTGGTCCGAAAATTTTTTTGGGTCGGATTTCCTTTGTTTTGGTCCGAAAAATCGTTTTTGGTCGGATTTCCTTTTTTTTGGTCTGAAAAAAATTTGTTGGTCGGATTTTCGATTTTTTGGTCCGAAAATTTTTTTTTGTGGTCGGATTTTCGATTTTTTGGTCCGAAAAATTTTTTTTGGTCGGATTTTCTTTTTTTGGTCCGAAAATTTTTTTTGGGTCGGATTTTCTTTTTTTTGGTACGAAAAAATTTTTTTGGTCGGAAAAAATCTTTTTTGGTCGGATTTTGTTTTTTCACGCCGAAAAATAATTTGAGAAGTGTTTTCAACCTTTTTTTCATACAAAAGAAGTGTTTTTTCAAGGTAAAATCCATCCTCAAGAAGTGTTTTTCGGCGCCAAAAACAGAAAGGCGACCAAAAAAACAAAAATCCGACCAAAAAAGATTTTTGGGACCAAAAAATCGAAAATCCGACCAAAAAAAATTTTTCGGACCAAAAAATCGAAAATCCGACCACAAAAAAATTTTCGGACCAAAAAATCGAAAATCCGACCAACAAATTTTTTTCGGACCAAAAAAAAGGAAATCCGACCAAAAAAGATTTTTCGGACCAAAACAAAGGAAATCCGACCCAAAAAAATTTTCGGACCAAAAAATCGAAAATCAGACCAAAAAAAAATTATCGGACCAAAAAAGAAGAAAATCATACCAAAAATAAATTTCGGACCAAAAAAATCAAAAATCCGACCAAAAAATATTTTTCGGACTAAAAAATCAAAAATCCGACCAAAAAAGATTTTTCGGACTAAAAAATCAATCATCCGACCAAAAAAAATTTCGGACCAAAAAAACAAAAAGTTCGACCAAAAAAAATCAGTCAAAAAAAAAAAAACAATTTTTCCAACCAAAACAAAATGCGAACAGGTGGTAGTAGAAGTAGTAGAAGTAGTAGTGACAATAGCTGCAGTACTGGTACAGGCATCGTTGTGGGCTGCAGGTCTGGAAGGTCCCGACTTGTCAGGCGGTTAGTATCGCTTCGAAGCGGAAAAGGCCAACGGGCCATTTGGAGCAAATCCAAGTATGTTTCGGGTATGTTTCAGGTATGTTACAGGTATGTTACGGGAAACCTTTCCTGACCTGGGTTGAGCTACTCTAGACCTTCGCCCGCTGCTAACTTCATCCAAACGATTTGAATAACGCGGGGGTATGTTTCAGGCGGTATGTTTCGGGGCATGTTTCAGGGTATGTTTCGGGGTATGTTTCGGGGTGTGTTTCGCGCAAGGACAACACTCCCCCAAGACTACAAATTCAACCCCCCCAACAAAGACAGACCCATATATATATATATATATACATACATATACACATGTGAGTCATGGGGGGAAAGAATTAACTTTCGACATTGTGGAAACACCGCCACCAACTTACGCCACGAAAACACACACACACACACCCACACACACACACGCGCCGCACGCCCGCCGAAAAAAAAACGCAAAATTCACCAGCCGACTCCTACTACTATTACTACTATTACTACTATTAGTACCGCCATACTGCCATATTACCACTTCACCACCGCTGGCACACGGAAAAAGGGAAGAAGTGTTTTGGATGTCGCGTGGCCCCCAAATCCGACGCTTACCCATCCCACCAAGTGAAAAACACTTCTCGAAAACCAAATTTCCGTTTATAGGCTGAAACGGCCAGTTAAGCAAGTTAACAGCCCAAGGAGTGAGTATGAAGCCCGAACCTTACCCAGATAATCCAAAACCCTGTGCTGCAGGAGCCTCCTCAACCCCTCAACCCCTCAACCCAACTCCAAGTACTTTATCATCATTGCTGAGCACGAGACTCTGTGCCGCAGAACCCCCAACGACCGCCCGAAAGATGACTGCATCGACTTGTGGTTTCAGGTTTAGGATTCGGGGTTCAGGGTTTAGGGTCTAGGGTTTCCACCCAAGGCCCTCAACAGGCACACATATGCCGAACACACCCTTGGCCCGATACCTTAAACCCTAAACCCGAAACCCCCAAACCCCCAACCCTAGACCCTAAACCCGAAGCCCCCAACGATGAACCCGAAACCCCAAACCCTAAGCCCGAAACCCGTAAAAGCAACACACACAAGCACTCAGAAGGTTCTACAGCTGACGTACGGAGGCTCCAACATGCTGAAGCCGAAAGCCCTGAATCCTCAACCGCTAGACCCCTAAACCCCCGGTGGTACCCTTATAGTCACCCTTAAAGGATCCCTTAAAGGAACCCTTAAAGGATCCTTTAAAGGAACCCTTAAAGGATCCCTTAAAGGAACCCTTAAAGGATCCTTTAAAGGAGCCCGACAAGGTCCTTAAAGGAGCCAAAGTCTTTCGGCTCTAGGGGCTCCCCCAAACCTCTAAACTAACCCTGAACCTTACGCCCAGAACCCGAAACCTTAAGCTAAACCCTTGACCTAGAACCCTTTAAAGAAGCCTTAGCCCAAGTAACCTAAACCCTACACCCTAAATCAGTATAAGCTCAAGGCCACAATCCTGAAACTAAACCATAAGCCCCAAGCCCTTGACCTAAGTAACCTACGCTTCTCCAAGGCAGCACAGCACTCCAGCTCAGCTGAGTCACTCGCTTTCATAGGGTTTAGGGTTTAGGGTGTAGTGTTTAGGGGTCAAGTTGGCAGCTGTCTTTGGGCCTTTCGGGGTTCCGTGGAGGTTCGGGGTTTGGGGTTTGGTGTTTAGGGTTTAGGGTTTAGGGGGGTCCGAGTATCAAAATAGGGTTTGGGGTTTAGGGTTGGTCCGAGTATCAAAATAGTCGGGTTTCAAGGTTCAAAAACCCACTCAGAGTCTGGATTTTGGTACCTAGAACCCCACTATTTGGTTACTTGGACCCTTGGGGATTCTTAGTGGCCCAAAACGCAACCTCTAACTGTTTAACTTGCCGGCTCCTTCAAGAAGTTATCTACCTTGTCCCATGAGTATTTGACCTTAGACTGACTACCAAACTATAACCGTAACAAGCTACCCTACCAAAAACAGGTTCTGATAGCTCAACATATATTTGGGTGGTTGTCAAAATTATGGTCCCTTCTTGGGTCCCTATTATAGTACGGCACCTATTATTTAGGGTACCCAAAAGGGGATCCTAAGTTTGACAACCACCCATTCAAGTTTTCAGAGCTAGGGTGCAGTTTTTAGGCTTCAGGGTTAGGGTTCGCTCATCGCAGTCTTGTTGTTTTCTTTTGGACTGCATGACCGTCGTGGCTTGAGGGTTTGACGTATGGTGCTGCCCCCACCTTTTTATAGCAGTTGCATGGATAATCTTTGTACTATAACAATATATGCCTGGACCCTACAAAACCTACCTCTTTAGGGCTATGATTTCCTCATACAAGTCCTTAAAACGGTAAGTTCTTTAGGGTCCGGGTAGTACTACCGTACCCCTAATATAGGCCTCTGCCTCAGGTTCCTAGCACCTTCCTGGTGCACCCTTTAGGGTTTAGGGGTTTTGGGTTTGGGGTTTAGGGGTTAAGGGTTTAGGATTTAGGGGGTTTTGGGTTTAGAGTTTAGGATTTAGGGGTTAGGGTTCAGGGTTTAGGGTTTAGGGGTTACGTGGTGGTTTGGTGTGCCGCGGCCTTGACTTGCCTAACCACCCAAGCGGAGCTCGGCAAATCCAGCTCAGACACACGACACCCTTCATGTTAAACCGATCCGAACCAACCCCTAAGCCCTAAACCCAAACCCTCGTGGTTTGCTACTATTTGCTTAAGAACCCCCAAAAAATTAAAAATATATTCCTTATGGGGGTTATATAGGGATTATTATTTTTATTTTTTGGGGGTTTCTTAAGCAAATAGTAGTTTGATCACGAACGCTCAACCCTAGACTCCTGAACACTAAAACCCTTAACCCTCAACCCCAAACCCCAAACCCTCTCAGTTCGGGCACGAATCCCAAACCCAATAGCTCTTTGCCCCGAACACTGGTACACCTGGGCCTTTCTGATAGCAGAGTTAGTGGGTCCCGCTGGTAGGAGAAGCTCCCATGGAGTTGAAGGTTCCTTGCTCAGGCTTTAGACTTTAGAGTTTAGTATAGGGTCCTTGGCAATTACCTATACTGTTTGGGAGGTTCCTCATTATCAGTATAGTATAACCGCCCTAAACCCTAAACCCTAAACCTTAAAGCCCGGGCCCAAAAACCGTGTTCTTATCATCATGCCCAGAGTTTCCGGCAGGATCTACGAGCCCAGAGGGTCCATATATACACTACCAATATGGAATTAATCAGGTCCCAAAAGACCGTCCCCATTATGGTTTAGGGGACCTAATTCCATAATGCTAGTATATGTGGACACTCTGGGAAAATAGATCCCTTAACGGGAGTTCTTACAAAGTACCCGTAGTGGTAGCAGTTCCCAGATCAGGGGTTTTACTTTCTAGATCTTCTCGGGGGGTCTGGGTATTTGTTCCTCGTTCAAACCGGCCTCCCTCGGAGAGGATACTTGCATCACCAGTTCAAACTTTCGAACCTGCTTGTTGCGTCCCTGACCTTTCAAGTAGGGTCCGGTGTCTCACATCACAGTTTTCTTATGAGTCGCAGGACTGTGCCCAGCCCCAAAACCCGATCTGCAAGTTTGCACGTGAAACTCAACCCTAGACCTGCAAGGACAGCACTGGCTGCGGTGTGCTGCTGCTGCCAAGCCATTGGTGGTGATGTGTCCCAGCTTCCCGTATGGTTCCAATTTGCATGCCGACCACGGAATATAGAAGTACTACGAATTATCGTATTTCTCGAATCGCTTCTATAGCAAGATTTCGTATTGAAAGCGTTTTCACGTGGGCTGAACCAAGCATTATTCGACCTGGAAGCACCCTCCTCTTTGTGGAGGGACGTGCGAAGGCTGGTACATGGGCTTTTGAAGTTCAAATTTTGAACGGGGGATACCACTGCGATGTGTGGGTCGAGAATGCGCAACCCGGACATATACATACATACATACATGCATACATATTACCTACATACATACATACATACATACATACATAATTACATACATACATACATACATACACACACCCATACATCCATACATCCATACATCCGTACATCCATACATCCATACATCCATGCATGCATACGTACATTATATATATATATATATATGTACATGCTCGCCCCCCCCCCCCCCCCCCCCCCCCCAAGATCTACGCTGTCGTGGTTCTTGGGGCATGAGGCGCACGAGACACTCTAATGCTCAAAAAACTCCAAAATTTTGGCATCTGCGGCCGGGCCAGAAGCAGATTCCTTAAACAGTTTGACTATTTGCGCATTACAGTATTTCGTGACGTTCCAGGTTGCAAATTCTGGATTTTTTTGAGCATTAGTGTTTTGTGAGGTTCAGGCCACGAAACACTGCTATGCTCAAGTTTTGTGAGCTTGAGGCTGGGAAAAGTTGATTCTTTTACCACTACAGTCATTGCAGTGTTTTGTGAGGTCCAGGCCACGAAAGACTGCTGTGCTCAAGTTTTGTGAGACTTGAGGCTGTGAAAAGTTATTTGTCTTAGCATTACAGAGTTTTGTGAGCTTCAGGCCACGAAACACTGTAATGTTCAAAAAAAGGCAACTTTTTCCGGCCTTGAAACTCACGAAACACTGTAATGCTTGAGCATTACAGTGTTTCGTGAGTTTCAGGGTTGGAAATTTTGTAATTTTTGAGCATTAGAATGTTTTGCGAGGTTCAGGCCACGAAACGCTGCTATGCTCAAGTTTTGTGAGCTTTGAGGCTGTGAAAAGTAGGTTTTTGAGAATTGATTACAGTGTTTTGCAAGTTCAGGCCGCGAAGCACTGTAATGCTCCCAAAAAAGCAATGTTTACCAGCCTCAAAACTCACGAAACACTGTAATGTTCAAAAATTCCAAAATGTATCATGGAATCTGCCACCGGCCTGGCCAGAGATGCCAGAATTTTGGATCTTTGATGCACTTTTTCGAGCATTTCAGTTGCAGTGTTTCGTGAGTTTCAATGAAGGTGGCAGTTTGGGAATTATTGAGCATGACAGCGTTTCGTGATGTCCAGGACAGGGTATGCTGTGTCAAAAGCGAGCAGTGAGCTTTCAACCGCTTTCAAGGATTAGAATTGCTGTTTTATGTGTCTTCTGGAACCGCAAAGGTTTTCGTTACTCTAGCTTGATAAGTATGAACTAGGCCCACCTTAGTCGCTACATATCTTATTTCATGTATGTTTCAAGAGGCTGGTCTATTTATGGCATCAGCAGCACTGGCTCTAGTACTTCAGCATTCTCGAAAAGCCTTTTGGCCCTTCTGCGGCAAACTGCACAGCCTACAGATCCAACACTGTACGAATGAGTACTGCTGAAGTGCTACAGCAGCGCAAGCCCATTCAGAGCTTATTTTATTTCATGTTGAAGATTGTAGGAAAGTGCTTGCATTTTGCTACCATCAGAAGCAATGGAGACTTCCGCCTATGCTGCTTCCTTTGAAACCGGAGTTTTCATGCAGGCAACACTTATTGATGCTGTTTTGGAGAAGGTACCGATAATAGCTGTCATCGAACGTAACACAAAAAAGTAGCTCTCTTCAATCTTCAACCGACACTCCCTAGATGTGATCAACCGACAAAGAAAAGCTTGTCTACTGGTATCTTTTATCAAACAGGCAAAAGCATGCGACTTCTATCGGTGATACCGGTCCTTCTGTCTATGACTATGGTTTAGACGTTCATAGTTCTCATCACAACGTTGAAAGGAGCTCTCTTCAGTTTTCAACGAATAGAAGTCCCATCGTTTTTTGTTGTGGAGCAGCAGGAGCTTTATTTCTCTTGCTTGATAGGTCTGATAGGTATGAAGATGGCCCAATTTAGTCTTCGTTTACTTCGTCTTGTAATCTCAAAAAACAGATAGCCATCGCTATGCACATGGTTGTTTTTAATATTTGACATAGACCGTGTCACAATATCAAGAGGAGTTTTCTTCCATGAAGTGCCATCTTACTTTGTTTTGCAAGGATAAGGAGCCCCTGCCTTCTGATTGATACGTAGCCAGTGGTATTTAGTCCTGCTTCATGTTTGGAAGGTTGCAAGAGCTGTTTTACACTTCTTAGGAGCCTTCTTGCGCACACCCATTTGCATATGAAACTGTCAACTCCAGAGGAGCTTTCCCGTTTTTTATGAGGCAAAAAACAGCTATTGGAGTAGGGCTTCAGAAATAGCAGCGCTCATATATTCGACTTCCTCCATGTATACTGTAATGGAAAGGACATGAGATGGGCTATTTGTGTCTGCTCGCTCGAATGCTATAGAGCGAAAAAGCCGCATCAGAATCGGACGCTTCACGAGCAGCGGAAAGAGATGGCCCACGCACACAGACATCTTCGTAAGAGAAACTATAGCATGTTTATTATTAGAGGAATGTTGCTAACAAACACATTGTAAAGCACGATAACAGGCAAAAACACGAGGTTTTTCAGTGCTAGATGAACAAAAACAGCATGCGTTCCAGCATTTGCAGCTTATCCAACACATAAGCTATCATAAATCTGCGGCCGAGATTCGGCGCCAGACTTATACACATATCAAGCCCGCGACTTGTAGCAGCACGGTTTGCATGCACATGGCTAAACGCACCATTGTATCGGTATTCACGGTATTTTCGGCCTGTATGAGTAGTGGAACAATGTAGAGAAGCAACCTGTGGAATCGTGTTGAAGCGGCGTGTGTAGATCTTGGGGGGGCCATATACATATATATACATATATACATATATACATATGTACATATATACATATATATACATATATACATATATACACATATACATATATACATATATACATATATACATATATACATATATACATATATACATATATACATATATACATATATACATATACACATATACACATATATACATATATACATATATACATATATACATATATACATTGTATATATACATATATACATATATACATATATACATATATACATACATATATATATATATATATATGGATTAATGTATTGTTTTATAGTACTGCTTCTGGCACTAACCTAGAAGGCCCACATGTGCTACTATGATTTATGATGGAATGAAGTATAGGTTATAGGTCTCAACCCCACCATAAGGATGGTCTTTGGGGGCCCAGCTCCATAATGGTAATACGTATGGACCCTCTGGGTAACAGCATCAAAATACGGTTCGGGCTAATCCGCGAAGCCTGAGCTCTGGGACGCTTTACAGTTTAAGTATGGAGCCGTTTTGGGGTTTCCAGAGTGTTTTCGTTTTGTGAGCCGAGGCACTTGTTGCAGCAGGTGCTGAAACAAGATGGCGAGGACTCCTCCAACGCGAAAGCCCGGGTCTCTATATTGGAAATCACCAAAAAATTGGGTTTCGGGTTTAGGAATCTAGACTTCTGATTCGAAACGGTTCTTGGAGACTTGTCTTGTAGTTGTCTTTTCTGTCTGCTAGATAATGATTCTTGTTTTACAGGAATCTTGACTTGGACTTTTGTTGCTGGATCTGGAAGGGGAGAGGATTCATAGATCGCCTCCGCAAAAACTTGGTTATTCAGCTTGTAGCCGGGTCGGAATATGAACGCACTTCAAGACAAGCGGAGCAGACAAATCAGGGTATCCCGGGTACACTAAACCAGATTTAATCCTAAACCCTAAACCGAAGGACTTTGGAATTCGGGCTCGGAAGGCTTCTGGTTCAGGGCTTGCGGCTTTGGGGCTTTAGGGCTTGTAGGGTTTAGGGTTCAGGGTTTGCGGCTTTAAGGATTATACATAGGGTTTAGGGTTCAGGGTTTGCGGCTTTGGGGCTTTAGGGTTCAAGGTTTAGGGCTTAGGGTTCAGGGTTTGCGGCTTGGGGGCTTTAGAACGTTAGGGTTTATAGGGTTTAGGGTTCAGGGTTTGCGGGTTTGGGACTTCAGGGTTTAAGGTTTGGATATTTTCCTTGTTCCTTAAACTGCTGTTTATAACACAGGGATCATGAATATGGTTAATTTAACCATGCAGTGCTTGGAGTCTCTGACAAGCAGCTCGTTTAAGTTTCTTAATTCTCACCCTGCATCTAATCTAGTCTAATTGGCGCATCCATCCTCACCTGACCTGTAACCTAACGTAAGTAAGCTTAATCTGCCGTAACTAAACGCCCAAATGAAAGCACAGTGGAGGGTATTTGGGGATAGTTGAGCTTTGGGTTCAGGATTGAGGGGTTCCTACTTGTTGGTTTAGTTTGCTTTTCGCCCCGGATTGAAGTGTGTATAATTTCTTACGAGATATATTATGGTTTCAGTCACCGGCTGGACCTAATCTGCTAAACCCAGCGTTAAACTTCAATATGGGGTGTGCCTCTTTTACTAGTGCAAGCCCAAATTGGGCAGAGAGTCGGCGGAGTGAAAGTCCCAATGCACCCTTTAGAAAAAAAACCAGCGTTAAAAGCAGCCTAAGCCAAGACAGGTCATCGTCTTCTGCCAGTCGGTAAACACGGCCCACCGGCTGACGCGGCTGCTTCAGATTCTCTGGTCTTTGCGGGGGGCGCATGCTGCAAGGCGTGCGGGGGACAGGGTTTGATATGGGTTCGGTGGTTTATTTAGCGATTAGCGATTTAGGATTCAGGGTTGTGAGATAAAGGCGTCTGGCCCGAGCGCAGCTAAAGCTTAGCGTCTCCGTTTGGAGTTGTTTAGCTTTCTGCGTATAGCAGACCCCAGCTATTGCCATAGCGTCGCCACCTCGCTCCTGGAGGGCTTGCTGGCTTTTATTCACAGGGGGCGCTCCCCTGTTTCAGGTTTCGCTGCTTCGGCCGAAACCTGACGCGTGCCGCGACTGGGTTCGCATGCGCGCTGCCAGAACTTACTGGCCTTTGCTCCCACTCTTCTCCTTTGGGATCTCTTTGACTGCGTGGGGAAGTTTTGGTGAGCAACAGATACATTACTCGGGCCTCGAGCCCACCTTGGCATCGCAGGCGGCGAAAAGCCCGTGCCAAGGCCAGGAGTGCTCTTCGAACTGGCAGGTATTCCCAGGCAGCATATCGGCTGCTAGCTCATCACCACGGTGGGATGCCTCCCAAAACACCAGGAGCATCAGTGTCAACGAAGGCGCAGGGTGGGAAGCAAAAGGGTCGTGGAGAACCCCCTGCGCAACAGAGTCGTGTGGAATTTGGGCTTCCTCAGACCGTCGTCCAGGCTGTTCAATCAATCTCCACAAGAGCCACGCAGGACCTCTGGTCCACGGCGCCGATGCCCTTCATGGAAGGTACAGCCGAGCAGAACCTGCAGCGTCGTACAAATATGACCAACAAATTGGCCAAGCGCTTAGCAGGCAATGCTCGCGCCAAAGCCGACCTGGGTATCTCCTTGCAGCAGTGGTTCCTACAACTGGGGCAACATGCGGCTGGACTACTCTCGCAGGTTCGTGCGATAGGCCAAAGACTCGATGCAGATACCGAGGTAGCAGCTGGCGAGATGAGGGACATCCTTGCAGGCCAGCCTTCAGAATCCACTTCGGCGCAAGTGGACAGAGCTCTGGCTGCGCTCGGACCTGTATGGGGCCCCTTACAGGAAGCAGAGGTCTTACAGATTGCTGCCCGCTTGCGAGCTTTCGGTGCTACTCCTGCCATAGGGGCCCCGTCAACGGAGGCACCCAGTGGTGTCGCGCCGCCATCCTTTGCCAGTGGAGCAGTGATGTCTTTTACCAGACCCGAGCAAACAAGTCCCGGTTCCGAAGCCAGCTTTGGTCCAGTTGGTTTAGGTCAATCGGGCACTGCTGTAAGGGAACTGGACTATGGTGGCCGTGGACGTCTTATGGATGGCGAAGACTTCGCCGTTTTCGATGGTTTTCCAGATCTCCTTGGTCGATCTGGCACTACCACAATGGATTCAGAGTCGATGGGTGGCGACGGAGGCCCTTCCGGCTGTGGTCGAGGAGGGCGTTGGCGAAAACGCAGTGGGGTCATACCCGATCGGCCTTCCAAAAGCCCTCGCCGCGAGGCCCCGGCCGAGCCGTGGCGAACCGCCGCCACGGGTCTCACGCCAGAAGCGGTACCTCGAGTACCACAGACGACCGTGGTGGAGAACGACGTGGAGCTCGCCGCCGAAGAGACGGGTCCTCCGGCGGCCGAGCTGAGCAGCCCCGCAACCAGGCCTACCGCGTTGACTTGGACCCAAGCTTGGCTCTATATGCTCAAGTTTGCAGCCGACAACGGCGACGCTGTCATTGGAGAAGTTGCTACCAGCGACACCCAGGACCTTGCGATGCCTCTGCCAAAGGATGGTCTCGAGCCAGCAGCGGTCGTGGCAGCGGCCGACAAAGTCTGGCAGGAACTTGTGCAGTTGTTACGCGAGCCCGGCACTACCTCAGACTTGCTGGCCAGCCTGTATCACAGCCTAGCACAGATCCTCCACCATATTCGCTCCTCTCCTGGGGCCCTAAGCCAGGTGAGACAGGGACTCGTTGTTGCTGCCCAGATTTCAGCAGGCAACCTCCTAGATCCCTTCAGTTATGCGCCAGCAACAGCTCAGGAATGGCTTTTCCCCAACATGCTGATCGAACGTGGGGAACCGTTACAGGGGTTCATAGCTGCAGCAATGGCAGAGGAGCATCATGTCCGAGCTCTGTTGATGCTCCCGTGCCCCTTTGCGTCCCAGGAGCTGATACCGTGTGCACCTACAGGTTCACTAGGTGGGGGCTGTTAAGTTGGTTCCTAGGGTTGGTAGGCTACTGCCTTGCGCCCTGGCTACTGGTGGTACGGCTCCTTGAGTTGAAGCTTCTTCGTGGCAAGGGCGACACTGCTTTCGCACCAACTAGGGTTCTTAACACCTACCCAGGCTCTGCCGACCACCACATTGCTCCGGATAGAGGCACTCCCTGCTGTGAGCCGCGAGCCCGCTCCAGACCTCCCTTGATCAGTCAGAAAATGCGGAGGCAGGGGAAGGTTCTAGGGCTTCTGTGGCTGCTCTGTTCCCCGGTTCAGGCCGTTCAGGTGTGGCCGGTTCGACGCTTCGGCGAGCACACAGTGTATGCAACTGGATCCGTACCGGATACCCGAGCTGTGAGTGACCTTGCACCAGCAAGCGTGGCCGGCACCCCCTGCATGGTACCGGCTCTTCAGCAGTCACCAACCGCCTTACGTGACATCGCTGTTTTTGCGCCTCAGGCCGACGCATGTCCAGTAGTTTTGCAGGTCGATGAGCGAGTGCACGGTGCACTTCTGTTCCGTTGGATCGGGGTTGCTTTGGGCTTCAGAGCTGACTACTGGCTCTTCCGCCGGCAAATCGAGCTGTTGCCATCCTTGCCCCCGGAGCAGTATGTTGTGTCGGCATGGAGTCAAGCATGGCACCAGATCTCAATTCCGGTTGATCTTCGACCTTTAGGTGGTAGGATAGCCCTTGCAGATGTGCATCGCAATCAACCGTGTGGACGTGTTGTTCAGGTGATTGCTCAGGCGCAAGGTTGTCTGCTGCCCCAGCACCTTCTATGCAGAGTTGGGGGTCATTGGTTCGAGCCAGCGGCATACACGATGCTTCTTCCCGGGGGTGATGCACTACAAGCTTGGCCTGCCGAAAATATTCCGAGAGCGGCTTTTCCCCAGCGTCCAGGCTCTTTATCCCCCAGGTTGTCCCTGGAGGATGTCTTTTCCGCTAGCCTGTCGCTTCCGTCAACTGATGAGTCGGCTTTCCACCATGCCAGCGGGCACAATGCTGTCATCATTACGCCCTTTGGGCTCCAATATGTGCACACCCCTCATTTTGCTGCTGCAGAGGACATTCGAATCAGTGCACTTCATGGGGTTCTCGGTTCAGTTAGCGATGGGGACCCCTTCCTCCGCATCCTCCCCCCACTTGCGCACTTGCCTGCTGTGCAGTTTGTCACTCTGCCCTCCCGTGCCGAGAGGCAACCTACTGTTCTTGACCTTAGGCCGGTTGGAGGTGGCATACATGTTGTCGCCTGTGATAGCGGCGATTCCCCGGAGGTCAGGTTGCGGACTGGTGTGGATGCATATGGTGCCCCACTCGTGGGAGAGGCCATTCTCCACGAACAGGAGCAAGGCCGGCTCCTCTTCCTCCATCAAGAGCGCCAAGTCGCCCCTGATATGCCCCTACACGTCGAGGGAGCCGTTGTGCTTGTGGTGCTGCCGCTCAGCACTGTCTCTGTCGAATCAGAAGGTTCAGAGCGCTCTGCAGGCCGCTTTGCACAGGTCCCGCATGTTTTGGTTCTTGGGGGTGCTTTTCATTTCTGGATGGGGACGCAGAGCTGCTTGTCTCTTGCCTTCCTTGGCTGCCTTGCGCAAGCTGCTTTTCTGGTGCCAGAGACCGCACCTGCGCCTCCTCCGTTAGATGTCTTCAAACTCGACGCTGAAGACAGTCCCCGTGTGCCAACAAAAGGGCTTGCCACGGTTGATGAGCATCAACGTTTCGCTACTCGAGTCCTGCATCTAGGGGACTGGGACACTGCCGACTGGCGATCTCCCGTGCCTCCGGCTCACAGTCACTTCGAGATCCAGGTATTCTCACCAGATGCTCGTTATGGCTTTGTCCTCCCCGGAGAAGGCTCAGCTTGGGATCTCAGGCATAATCTTTTGCATGTGGGCGGCCTGAGTGGACGGCAGTTGCCAGTCCTTGTCCAGCCAGCTCTGCGCTGTCGGTGTGTTCAGTTTGTCGCCCCTGCTAGAGACCCGACGTTGGTTACGCTTCTGGTTGATATCGGCACTCAGCTTGTATGTTTAGATGCCGCCAGAGGTAATGCAGGCCCAGGCATCCTTCAGGCACTCGAGCTTCTGTTCCCACAAGCTAACTTCCGGCTTGAGGCCTTCAGCCCTGCCCCGCTTAGGCACGGGGATGTGGTTGTAGCCCGTAACGACTGCGCTAGGACTTCTCTTGAACTGGGGGCTTGGTCGATTGCAGGGAGGTCTTCCCTTGGAGCCCTGTGGCTTACACCACATGCCGAGGTGTATCTGTCGACCTCCACTCATGCTCTTTTGCTGTTGCGTGTGCCCCTAGGGTTCACTAAATCCCAGCTTGTCGCAGCATCGCTCGATTGGTTTGGAAGCCCTGCACGTGGTCAGGACTTCATACGGCTCCCTCTTGACAGGCCTACGGTTGATCTCTTTTGCTGGCTGCAACCTGAGCGAAGTACTCTTGCGCTGGTCCTCACTGACATATCTGACTGCGAGGGCCGTCCGATTGTTCATACGGTTGCTGTAGATAGCACCGGACCACTCGTGCTGAGTGCTGTGGCTGCGAGTGGGGCCGCCAATGCTGATTTTTGGGCCGACGTGCTCAAGCGACAGCCAGTTGTTCTTCGTTATTTCGCCTTATCCCCTGAGCAGACAGCCAATGCCAGGCATTTCGTCTTTTATCACTTGGGGATAGATTTCTGTAGGGCGCAGGGACATGGATGGCGACCCACTCAGACCGTTTTGCCCAATGTGGTCGACCTGGTACAACTCCAGCCAGAGTTCTTCCAGCAGCCTGGTGATCTATTGGCCGATCGTCAGTCACCGCCTCATATGAAGTTGTGGCCTGCGAGCGCCAGACCGCGGCCGGAGGGTTCTCGTCTACAACGGCGTGTGGCCCGTGGATGCACCCCAGCGCTAGTCCCCTTCCCTGCAGGAGGCCTACGCACATTAATGTGCCCGCATCAGGGTGTTACTTGTCAGGTCCCCTGTCCCGAACATTTTCAGGTTTGGGCTGTGCGTATCGGTGAATGGGTCAAGGCTGCATGTACCAATACCGTTGAATGGCAGCATGTGATGACACTGGGAGGTTTAACGTCGTGGGACTTGCCAGGTGTGGCAGTGCATGGTGCCGACCAGATTTGGTCATGGCCAGCTGAGTTAGCCGACTTTTCCGGGCAATGTGGCCACTTGCTCCAGGACGGGAGAGATCCCTTTGTCTGTGATGTACATCGAGGTGTCCTTTTCCAACTTGGCGCTGCTCGCAACGCCTCTGGGAGTCATGTGGCAGCGGGCGCGACGGCTCTGGCTGCCCGAACCTTCCGAGCCTCTTGGATCCTCTCTCTCAGTTTGCTCTTTGCGTTCCCGATGGCCGTGTCTGCTATGCCCACCATGCCTCACACATCGGATGAAGATGAGTGGGAAGAGCCCGCAGTTGTTCCGCAATACAATGCCACACCCACCTGCAATTTTGGCTGGAGCCACGAGTTGTCATGTCAAACCACGCTCTGTGGTGTTCACATCGAGGCCCTGCATCACCACTGTCAAGTTGCCTCCCCTTTCGAAGTTGTGCGTATTGCGGTTTGGACCCCCTTTACGGGGCCAAGTTTCTTCGACTTCCCGCGTGATGGCCCGCTGCATGCTTTTCGATTTTTGCTTCGTGAGGCCGGCTACCATGAAGAAGCCTGCTCGCTGCATATCGCGTTTGATACCTTGCCTACGAGCTTAGAACTTGTCGCTTGCCCACAAGGTCCCCAACGTTGGTGGATTGTGCGTGATGGCATGGCTCGGGAGCTTCTTCGGCCAGTGCGGCCCTGGCTTGAAGCTGACGGCCGCCGTATCTTGACCGTCAACTCCCACGGGCAGGGGCAAGGCCTGTCCTACTCTGAAGAAGCGGGACGTATGCATCTGCTCCCGAATGGGGTGCGGGCCGCCATAACCTACCCCTTCTCAAGAGTCACAGGGAGGCTCTTTGAAGGTTGCCTTGAGCTGCTGGAACATAACATCGGGGTTCCTTCTGTTGTTGCTGCGGCAGCCTTATCCGGTCGAAGTAGCTGGAGTGTCTTGCTGGGCCTCGTGGTTTCCGTTCAGGCTATGCAGAACGATCTGGCCCTCCGATCTGCCACGGTAACCGCGCCAGTGCACTCAGATTGGGCCCCACACCGGCCGCAGCTTGTCCCCTCCCTCACGCGCATCTGGACTGCTACCTTGGCCGCACCCACCGTTGTCAGCTATCACGAGTGCCCAGACCCGGTCGCTATGGCTAATAGTGTCGCTAACACCGCCAGGGGGCTGGCTCCCGTAGGGGATTTCGTCTGGACGACACCTCGAGTGGTACACGGCGTTGCTCACATCTTGCAGGTGCCACCGTGTTCTGCTCCGCCTCTGACCTACTGGTTACTACACTTCCGAGGAAGAGCCGTCGTTATCAGTTCGCCCCGTCAAAATTTTGACTGGCAACACATAGCTCAGGTTGCTTCTGAGGAGTTTGGTCATGCTTTCTTTGCGCAGGGCCATTTTGCTGTGTGGCATGGAGGGCGCACTATATCCTTCAACACGCAGATTCCAGCTCCGGCGCATGGCACCATTGTGACCCTTGTTCGCACTACGCCGGCTTCTTCTGTGGGACTCTCTGCATGGGATACGCCGGCTGATCTGCCTATGACACATCATTTTGAATATGACATTTGTAGAGGACCTGGAGGGGAAGTTCCCTTGCCCGGGGAGCTTTGCGCACATATGGGACCACATGGGTTGCTTGGAACAAGTACCAATCGCCGCAATGCAGTTGATACAACATCAGGTCAAGCCCTCACTCCTGCGCCTGCCCTGGTTCGCCAGATCAACGAAGTCAGTCATCAACTCATTTTGCTTACGACACGCCTTGAATCTGCTGGTGTGTTGCCTCAGCAGGAAGCTGCTGCCTCGATTGAAGCACCACATTTCCGTGGGGATGCTGCACAGGCTGCACAGGCTGCACAGGCTAGCGGTCATGACGAACCGCACAGTGGTGGTAGAGGT